TGTTTTGACAGAGCCAAAAACGTCAGTCACTGCCCACGTTAAAGTTGCTTTAAGAACTAGCAGACGCACTTTGTATTCGCTGATAGAATTTGAGAGTTATTCTTTAAAATGTTTCACAAACCTTCTTAAGATGCACAGGGATTTTTACTAGAGCTTGTTTTTAATATTGTGCATATCATATCTAGTAAAGCTGAGGATGCCAAAACCAACTCCTTTAAAAACAAATCTTTTTAAGAGAAGAATGGTGAAGTAACTTGAGAATTTAAGTTGCTAGCATTTAAATTTTGAAGATGGAAGGTTTATTAAGGAACCAAACTAGTAAAAAGTGCAAAAGGTAGAAAAGAGGACTAGAATACCTGTCCTGTCTGCTATGAGAGTTCCACGTGTGAATTATATAATAGGTGTGGCCAAGTAAGTGACTTCATTTTGTACGGGTTTGAATCTCATCTTTGTATCTTGCATATGTTTGCCACAGCACGCGATTGAAAATCAGAGTGAACTGAATCTCATCAACCAGAAAAAACCCCCTTCCTAGGTGAATTATTGTTAAGAGTAAACAGACTATTGGAGGATCTTTAAGTTCCCTTGACTATTTTAAGTCTTTCCACCATCAATTTATGATGAATGTACATCTTTGTTTTTATGTAGATAGCTGTAGCTTCTCTTACAATCTCCTTAAAGAGTGTCACTGGTGACTTTAATTTGATCTGATGTTCCTCTTTACCAGTTAATGGACTTTTCTCAATTAATTTTCCTTTTATTAAAAAGAATTATTTATTTATTTAATTCTATTTGTTGTTGTTATCATTTTTTAAATAATTATTTTATTTATCTATTCATTTATATTAATTAGACCAGAGAGAGAGGGAAAGTGAGAGAGCAAGCCACCAGGTCCAGGACTAGAACTGTGGTTGGCCACGTGGGAGTGTCCAGCGCCTTAATCACCATACCACCTGTTGGTCCCCATTGTTTTTATTATTTTAATTTGACCAAAGAGAGAAAGGGAAAGTGAGAAAGCAAGCTGCCACATACAGGACTGCAACCATAGACAGCCTTGTGCGAGTTCAGCACTTTAACCACTATGCCACCTTGCCGGCCTCCTTTCTCAATTAATTTTCTAAGTAAGAGTCTTATCTTTTTCCAGTGGGCTTGTGCTGCTGGCTTAGTTCAGGCCTTTGTATGTCTTTTTAAAGCCTAGGAGATTTTGGGCTAGTTTTCTATTAGCATTACTTCTCATGGATACTTTATGACTTGAGTTGTTTGTTTCTCATATTGGACCACTACTCTGGGATAGTCTTAAGTAGGTGTATGGAGACTGCAAGTAAACAGTGTTTGCTAGGTGTCCGTTATTGCCAGGCACTGTACAGACACTGGGTATACAAGAGCAGGGTAGATATGGACCTCGTACTGCAATCCGATAATCACTGTATAGGGACTATATCATTTTAGGCTACTGATCTATTGGGAAATAACTTATTCTTAAAAAATCGACTTGAACATGGCCAACTCTTTATTTCCATTATGCATAACCTTCACTTGGACATAGTTAATTTGGTGCCAAAAAAATATTGTAATTATTTCCAAATAAAAAAGGATTGCTTTAGGTTTGTTAGCTTTTTCGAGCTCTATGTAAATTAACCAGCATGATTAAAATTTGACTGTTGATGACCGTTTAGTGATTTGTTCAGAAAGCTGTATTTGCAAAATAATACTTAGCATTTCTTGAGCACTGTATTTCAAACTAGTCACTTATACAAGTGCAAAAATGCAATTATACAGTCAATTTCACTGTATTTACAATTTCACAAATATCTTAATTTATATAGTATTATCACTAATCTCTTAACCCTGTCAGTTAGGTATTATCTCCATTTACAGATGAGGAGGAAATAGGCTTAGGGAGTTTAAGTAACCTGCCTAATTAGCTCATGAGGAGTAGTCAGGATTTAGAACTAGGGTTTCTCTAATTCCAAAGACTATGTACACTTTTCCCAGTGCTTCTGTAGTTTTAATCTGATTGTTAAATTTGTATTAATATTAATTCAGAGATCTAATAATAGTTCTAAGATTTAAAAGAAAAATCAGATTATTTTAAAATACTACTAATTAACTGGCTTTCTAGTTCTAAAATCCAGGAATAGATGTGTCATCCTGTATTGGTCATGACTGGCTTACTAACCGTATAGCATTGATAATTATATCAAGTTCCTGAATTTGAATTTCTGAAAGAGCATTTCCAAGCTATAGTTTGGAGCCATGTATCTACTGCCTATCACTTTGAGCTCTAATTTTGCCACAGTGAGATAGTTCTGACAAGAAACAATGAGAAATTTGCAGAGACAGTTCTTTATGCAGTCTTTTTCTTTTCCCTGCCAGGCTCCAGTATTTTGGCCTGACATCATATATTGATGTCGAATGAATCTGTGCTGTGAATGGAATTTTACAGAATGAAGTGGAAAAGCATTTTCTAAGTTATAAATGAAAGGCCGTTTGCTGTAGTTTGTTACAAACCAGAATATCCCTTAAACATTTGATCCTACTAGGCCTCAAATTGAATTATTCTGAACGTAATGCCTACCTTGTTCTTTGGCTTGTTCCCTGTTTTTCTCATTAGAAATATAAGACCATACATGTATGTATACAAATATACATTATTTATTACAGAGATATAGAAAACTAAGAATAGATCATGAATAAGGAGCAATGGATACTGTTTAAATTGTCTTTAAAATAAGAGATAACAGGTGTGGGGTAGTAGTTGAACACTTTTCCCCAAGTAAAGTGCCATATTGACCATCAGTTATTCCATTTGACAGGTGAGAAAACTGAAGCTTGCAAAGGTTAAATAAAATAACTTGTCCTGATTCATACAGTTAGCTCTACTAAGAGGTGGAATTGGGAACTGGAATCCAGGTCTTTCTGATTCCAGGCCTGTTCTCTTAATTACTACTCTCTCCTGCCTCACAGAATAATTATCTAATCAAGAGATTTGAGGGGCCAGCAGGTGGCGGGCGTAACGGTTATGTTGCTAGACTCCCATGTAGTTGATCATGGTTGAGTCCTGGACCTGATGGCTTAAACTCATGCCAGGTGCATGTGCGTGCGTGCCCAAGATCCTAAGAGGAGACTTGTGCTAGGGGGAAGGTCTGACCAAGAGAAGCAGGTTGGGAAGTTGTGTGTGCTCAAGTAATCATGGGAATTTTCTATTGTGGATGAGTTTATGCAAGGAGAGTATGTCAAAACTCTATAGAGAAGACTGAAAGGTAGAGCTCTGGGGATGCTTAAAAAGGGGCACGCAGAGGAAGGAGAAGGAGCCTGAGAAAGAGTAGTATGGGGGCCAGCAGATGGCATAATGGTTAGGTTGCTGGGCTCCCACCTAATTGATTACAGTTCAGGTCCTGGACCTGGTGGCTTCAAACTCATGCTGGGCACATGTGTGTGCATGTTCAAGATGCTGAGAGAAAATGGAGGAGAAGAAACTGTGATGTGGCTATCCCCCCTGTGGGGTGATTTCTTGCTTTCTGTATCTCTCTCTCTCTCTTCAGCCAATGCAGGTGTCCTTTAGCAAAAATCTTTCTTTAAAAAAATGTAGTATGGATTAAAGGAGAAAGGTGAGTCACAGATGGAAAGGGACAGTTTTGCCTGTTCTGGTTTCCTCACTGTTCTAGGAACTAGGGAATTACCAGTAAAAAACTCAGATAAAAACTCCTGCCCTTACAAAACTTACTTTCTAGTTGGAAAAGATATAACAATGAACAAAACTAGTAAGTTTAACATATGCTATGGTAGGTGATGATAAATGCTGTGGATACACATAAGGGTTCTTTTTTTTTTTTTTTTGGGGAGTTTTTTTACTTTAGGGAACCTGCGC